CGCAATTCTTATCAAGTATTACAATCACATAGTCCTCTGCATGAGAAGAAGAGAAGAAGAGCTGAATCCAAAGAGACAAAAAAATGTAAGAAGGGCTGCCTCCCCTTCTGCTGTTGATATTCTGCTTACCTAAGCCTTAACGTCACTCGCTGAAGATCCCTGCGAACCTTTTTCCTTAATCCTAATTTTATTTATTTCGCGGAAGCCTGAGGGCGCCTGAAGAGCATTGTTGTATCACACGCCCACTCTCGCATTCACGCACGGCACCGTGTGAGGAGAGTGTATATATATTACTAGGTCGCTCCCCCCGGCGGGACGTGGACGGTGCTGATGGCGAGAAGGCCGTTTTGTCTTGATTCTGTCTGATCACTCGCAGCCATGGCGCCATGTTTACTGCGCTTCCCGCTGCTGCTGCTGCTGACGGCCGTGGGCGCGGATGCTGCGGCCTTGAACATCCAGGACGAAGCTCAAGTTCCCCTGGTTACGGCTGTCGACGAAGCTGACAATGTCCAGGGAGAAGGTCACAGCGGCCTGCATGGCCGTTTCTTGCACATTACAGGTGCGTTTGAGCTGGTCCAACGGCTCTCCCGGTGTGTTTGCAGAGGTATCGAGGCTGACATTGTGTGTATCCAGATATCCATGCAGACCTGTTCTACAAAGCCCACACGAAGATAAAAAACGACTGCCACCGTGGACATGGTATAGCTGGCTTCTTCGGCACGCCTGGCACGGACTGCGACACCCCCGAGACGCTGCTGGATGCAACCTTCGACTGGATCGGTAACAACCTGCGAGACAAGGTTGACTTTGTGATCTGGACGGGCGACGCAGCGCGCCACGACAAAGACGAACGCAGGCCACGTTCTGAGAAGGAGATCGTGAGCACCAATCGGCTTGTGTTCGACAAGTTTGTGAAGACGTTCCACAAGCCCAAGGATGAACTCGGAAACACCCTCAAGGTCCCCATCATTCCAACCTTCGGAAACAACGACATCATGCCTCACAACATCATGGAGAGGGGTCCAAACAAGTGGACGAGGATCTTTAGCGAGCTGTGGGGTGCAGTCATCCCAGAGGAACAGAGACACTCGTTCGCCATTGGAGGGTGGTTCTATGTAGAGGCCATACCAGGGAAACTGGCTGTCATCAGCTTGAACACCATGTACTTCTACCGGGCCAACAGCGCCGTGGATGGGTGCAATTCAAAGTATGAGCCAGGGTTTGAACATATGGAGTGGCTCAGGACACACCTGCAACTGCTCCGGGACAGAGGGATGAAGGCAATTCTGATCGGGCATGTTCCGCCTGCTCAGAACAAGAAGAAGAAGAACTGGTCTGGTTCGTGCTGGCAGAAATACGCTATTTGGATGAAGCAATACCGTGACGTAGTCGTTGGAAGCTTCTACGGGCACATGAACCTTGACCATTTCATTCTGCAGGATTTCGATGATATCAAGTATATCATTGGTGATGAATCAGAATACGATACCAGCCATGAGAAGTCAGGGAAAGACGTCTCAATAACGGTGTCGATGGGCTACCTGCGAAAGCTGAAGAAGCTGTGGTCGAAACTACCACAGCCGCCTTGGGCCGAGCAGGACCAGGCGAACACTGCTGGGTACAAGAAAGAGCTAAAGAAGTACTACAATGAAGTAGGTGGTCCATGGGCAGAGCGATACTTTATGTCATTCGTCTCGCCCAGTGTGATACCCAACTTTTTCCCTTCTATCCGCGTGGTGGAATACAACATCTCCGGCATAGAACACTCAAAGAAGTGGCCGCAACCACCCTACCTAAGTCCCAACCAAGACAACACTCCTTTGTCATATCTCGATGAGGATGATCGTGACGATGATAATGATCAAGACAACACCTCGATAGACATATCGAAAAAGCACAAGAAGCGCAAGAAACACAAGAAGAAATACCCCAAATTTACTGTTCCCAATCCTCCATCCAGAACCTCTCCTCCAGGACCAGCCTACTCCAACCAACCACTCTCCCTACTCGGCTACCAACAATACTTTGCGAACCTGACGGAACTCAACCAGGCTCACGACGAGAAGTCTTTAGAGCTGAGTGAAGTGGACGCAACCAAGAAAAGCAAGGCCCCCAAGGACTTTTATCATCTAGAATATGATACACGGACTGATCCGTACTACCAACTACCTGACATGACCATGAACAGCTACCTTGAGCTCGCAAGACGGATAGCCCGCGAAGAGGAAGTGCCCGTGCACGACAATGAAAAATCTAGTGACGGGGACGGCCCATCGATACTCAAACGTACGGTATCTCTCTGGACGGTTTTCCGCCAAAGGGCGTTTGTAGGGTTCTTCAATGCAAGGATGCCTTGACTGAAGACACTAAATATATACATCCTCGGATTTGGAGTTACAGATGGACCCTTTTCTCGAGATATGTCCATATATCCCTCACATAGAATGGCTTTTTTCTTGACTTTACATACTTTACATACGCATAGCCTTTTGCTTTATTGGCCTTCTACTTGTCTATTTCTATTAGTTTCTTCGATATACTCCTTCATGCTACCTGGCCAGGTGGCGCGATACCCCATTTTCTCTCCTTTGTGTGCCCTTGGCTACTGGTATAGGGAGGCTTTAGCGTCAAGGTTTATTTTCTGTTCTAACTATATACATTGGGTCTTCTCAATATATTTAGATGTGATACACTATGAATAATTGTTTATTACCAGTTATAGGAGGTAGTTCATGGGCTTGTCCAATTCTGGCATGATGATTGCATTATATAAATCAAGTAAGTAACTATCACCTAAAGATATTCGTTCGTTAGCTAATATATTAAAGTAAGTTGCCGAGCTTGCAATGGTAATTGCTGTATATCAATTTGATAGATCGAGTTGTTATTAACCAAAGCTCATGGATCTATAACCAAGGCGAACTAGCTGATGACTAAGTCCCCTTGACTAAGATACCCACGGATAACCAAGAGAGAGCCCTATGAGGCTCTTTGTGAGAATAATGTACCTTTTGTGTGCACGATGATGTCCCACAGGGCCCGCAGGCCTCAGACAGGGGCTCAAATCATGAAACGGTGCTAACTATGCCCGAGTATAGGTAGTCCAACAGCCCCTGACCAAGCTGCTCGTAGCTAAACTACGATATAAGTTACTTGAGCCTCTGGTCTGGGGCGCTCTGCGGCCTGCCAATTGCTATCCCACTCACATTCTTCGCCCATTAGTTATGCATACCACCTGCAGCCAGGTCTAGACAGCAAACGTGTTCGATATTTGCCATGAAAGAAGACAACGAGGCTTGCCTGCGGAACGACAGCTGCTTTATCTCCTGGCTAAGGTATTTGAGGAGCAACAACATAGAAGAGTCGGCATGCAAGCTTGCCTCTCATCACGTTCGCCGTGAAGCAACCAGCGCCGAGGAATACTTAGCAGGCTCCTTTAACCGTTGTTATCGAGTCAAGTTCAAGGATGGACCTGACGTGCTCGTCAGATTCCCTGCCCTGGGACGGTCGATGTTTCGACGTGAAAAGATAGTGGATGAAATTACGGTGATGGAGTATGTCGAAGGATATACGTCCATCCCCGTCCCTCGCGCTCTCGGGTATGGCGCAACCGAAGTAGGTCCGTATATGATTCTTGAATTTGTCGAAGGCAAGCTACTATCTGGGTATCTCAAGGCATCGGAAGACCCCAAGGTGCCATCGACCTTGAAATTGGACCTTGACCCTGCCATCTTACGCCGGGCCTATCGCACTATGGCGGAAATCGTACTGCAGCTCTCTACATGTCGCTTTCCAGAAATCGGCGGCATTTTCCGGGATCGCGCTGGATACTACGAGGTGCGGAAACGGGCGCTGACTCTCAACATGAATGAACTGGTGGCGCTTGCAAACTTCCCTCCCAAACGACTATCGCAGCGCCGCTATGCGGACACGACCTCATACCTGGTGTCTCTTGCAAATGACCATCTACATCACCTTGAAACACAACGCAACGATGCGGTGGTGGACGAAGAGGACTGCCGGAAGAAATACATCGCCCGCTGTCTATTCCGTGAAGTTGCTCGCCGCTTCCGCTCTCCGCATGATCCCAACTCGTTTCCGCTGTTCTGTGAAGATCTACGTCCTTCCAACGTGATTGTTGATGAGGAACTCCGAGTTCGCGCCGTTATAGACTGGGAATTCTGCTATGCTGCGCCGGCCGAGTTCACCTACTGCCCTCCCTGGTGGCTATTGTTATGTCGCCCGGAAAACTGGGAAGCCGGCTTCGATGATTTCCTGGTTCACTACATGGCTAGACTAGAGATATTTCTAGAAGAGTTAAGGGAGTATGAAGTTGAGTTTGCTGAGGGTCATATACCCCCCGGGTCGTCCCGCCTCTCAGAGCACATGGCGCAGTCGATTGAAAATGGCAATCTCTGGATTTTCCTTGCAGCAACCTACAGCTTTGGCTTTGATGATATCTACTGGAAATTCATACATCCAAAGTACTATGGTGACTTTGGGTCCACCGAGGATTTGTTGAAACTGCTGAATGAGGAGGACCGGAAAAAGATGGATGACTTTGTCCAAGGAAAGATGCAACAGATGAAAGAAGGCGGGCTCGATTCTCACAGGACAATAGAAGAAATTACAGACCATTGAATTTTTGTATGTTGAGACAATGAAAGATAATGCAGTTTTTCTATTGATAATTAAAGATACTTATAACACACTGTCGAAACAGACTAAAAGAAGACTGAAAAGGGGGGAAAGGGTGGCCCATGGCTTCAAGCAATTAATGGCGTCTTCGACTTCGAGTAATCTCCGCAGCACGCTCCATGTCCATTCTTTCCTGTAGCCTAAGGTTTCTAAGGACTTCGGCCACTTCCATCCCGTTTTTAATTTGTCTTCGGAGTCGCCTTGCTTGGGCGGCGGTAGGGACTTGGCCAACGTTGAGTCCAACAGTGATGGTTTCTCTCCCTGACGGACAGTCAGAGTAATAGTCGAGAAGAGATTTTTGTTTAGCTGTCGCGCACGGCTTCTGTAGGCTTTGCACTGCTATGGGACGATGCGGTCGAGTTGGGGTTACCGCCCCACTCTAACTTCCGAGGTGTCATGTACTGATTCAGCACCTCGTCTGTAACGGCTTTTCTTCGCTCTTGGAACTCCATAACGTATTCCTGCAAAAGGGCGATAGCCATTTTCTTTAGCTCTCCCGTCAAAAGATCCCCTTTGCGGTAGTCTTGCTCTATCTTCTTAAGCTTTTCGTCGTCATCTTCGAAATAAGAAATGTCTGATATCACGTCAGATAACAGTCACGCATAAATGGGTTGGACGCGGGCACATACATTGGTAAGAAACGTCTACATCAGGGTTTCCACCAAGCTGACGGTGCAGCTCAACCGTTTCTTGGCCTCCACTGAAGGCATAGGAGTTGATTTTTTTCTTGGGACGTGTCAGACAAAAGGACTGGCAAACAGGTACAAGGAATGGAGTAATTGGTTAAACTTACCTTGATTTGGTTGGGGGTGTCTGACATGAAAATGGCGGAACTACAGCGAATGTAAGTATGGGCAAGTAGCAAGAGTAGTTAAGTCAGTTAATTCTTACTTTGGATCACTGGCGCTCATCTTTCCACCGGCTCCTTGCAGTGCAGTAAGGAATTGAGAGTGAATCAATGCTGGTTTTGGAGAAGGGAATCGCATCCTATGACAGTTTTCGCGCAGGAGTCTAAAGTAAGGATCTTGGTCTATAGCCATGGGAATCAAGCACTGAATCTTTGCCATGGCTTTAGTTCGGGCTGTAGCTGGTTTGTCGCTCCAGAGCTCCGGATATGACGTAGCAAATGCGGCAGCACTATTACAGTCAATTATGTGGTCTTTTCATTCTGGAGAGGACAACGTACCATTGTACAGCAGGGAACATTATACGACCGATATTTGTGCTATTATATATTAGTTTACAGCACAAGCATAGGGGTGGATTGGTGGGGGCTCACCTCTCGTTAAATCCAAATGCTCCGCGGACTTGGTTGAATGTAAGAAGCTTTGAAAATTCCCAGACGTTTGTGAGGAATGGGCCTTTGATGTATTCCAGGTCACTGTAGATGAAGGTCTTCTTCAAATCGAAGCCACATGCGATGATATCCTTTGCGTTCTGAAGGGCAAACTTGTGTGTTTCCTCGAAGGTGAGCTTTTCCTTGAAGAGTGCCTTTTCATCATCTTCCTCCTTTTTTATCAGTATGGGGTTATATGGGAGCAAACTGCCCATGAGAAAATGACGGCTTACCAGTAAGCATGATCACTAGATATTCAATTAGACGAGTTTGTCAAACGACAGTTGCACACAAAGACACGAAAGAATACCTAATGGGACATCAAAAACGTCCTGCAGCCATTTTGTGAAAGTGAGAGGGATGGTGTGGCCGAGATGCAATGCGTCGCTAGATGGTCCTCTGCCAGTGTACAAGAAGAAAGGCTCGCCCTTTTCGTACTTGTCCAAGATCTTGTCGAAGTCCCGATGAGAGAAAAAAAGGCCACGTCTCAGCCAACGATGGGGTTTGTGGCCAGTAATGCGCTCAAAGCGCTGGAGAATGGTATCGTCTATCAATTTAGTCGCCCATTTCCTATCTCAGATGGTTAGCACGCGGTCACTGCAATGAAAAGGACGGGGGATCCTGGGGAGTATGAACGCACTTCGAAATAGCAACATAGTCGAAAGCCAGAGTGTTTCCCTGCGCATCCTTTGCACCTTTAACGTCCCAGGGGTTGATATCCTGTTCTGTAGTAGCAGCAGGCTGTTCTTCTTCACGGATTGGGACCACAGTCTCCGCCTTGGGCGCCTCCATCTTTAATGCCAATGCAACGTCTTTGACGGCAGGAGAATAGAAAAACGCACGCTGGGGGAACTTGAGAGAGAGGACAGAGGCTGAAAGAAGAACAGTGAGGTCTGCAGTAAACAGAACATGAGTCAAGGTTTACCCCTCGCTCGCTATCTTTTTCGCCCTTTCTGCTGTTTGACTCAACTCGAGGGGGACATCGCGATAGATGACTAATCAATTCTGCACCTGCAGTCTTATCATGATTAGTAATAAGACTTCGGTATTATATTAATACCCGCCCGTGTCACATGACAAGACAAATCAGGTGACTATTGTCTTAGATAATCAGAAATCAAACTCGAGACGGGACTCTCAAGAACGGAGAATTAATGAATTCAATGTATCACAAAACTAGTAGTTTGGAAATAATGTGCTCTTACACTCTGTAGATGCTCCGTAGAAGAACGAACGCTATGTGCCAGCAAGGCGTGAGATAGCGTGGCGACTCCAGATAAAATTCAACCATAAGGTACGGAGTATATATATCAGGGAGCTTTTAATGCTCTGGGACGGGGCTCTGTCTATCACATGACCCGGCTCAGCCTCCACTCCCTCGGCCCTTTTTCTCTCCTTCGCTCGAGGACGCCGAAGGTTGATAGAATTTAGATCGTGAAGACGCAGCGAAGATGAAGACGTTGAGGCTGCAGTCTCCGGGGCAAAATGGAGTCCACGAGCAGGACAGGATGAGGTGGCACTGACAAGGCGAACAGCGAGCAGTCGATGTGGCTAGCAACCTTGACAGACTGTCGGGTCTGCTGGCGCAGGGCGGCAGAGCGCCTGAGAGACTGACACGTCAAACAGGCGGTGGGCTTGCTAGGCTGCTGGCCCCGGGATAGTCGAGCAGGTTAAGGCTCTGGGGCTGGGATCCTCCGCCAGCGAAGACCAGCAGAGACAGACAGAAAAGAAGAGGGAAGAAAAGGAAGAGAAGCGAGGCTTCTCGTGTTTTCTTTTTCCTCTCTAAATATACTTACTCCGTACTGACTCTCGAATTCTGTCTGCCGTAGTTAGTTACCCCCTGCAGCTGCTCACCAAAGTATTAACTATCACCATCGCCATCTTGGACTCGCTGCTCGTCTTCTCCCACCAGACCAGCGGGTTACTCCTGTGCGACTGCGACAGTGACGGCACCGAGAGGCACAATCCAAGCCGCGCTGGGATTATGGAGAAGAATTGATCGATTCATCGCCTTTTCTTTTCTTTTCTTTTCTTTTATTCCTTTCCCCTGGTCGTATTTTGGGCAGCGACTCTTTCTTTTACCGACACTTCGACTCAGGCTCTCCAAAGAAAGACTTCCTCCAGCGATGAGACTGGGCTCAATGGCTGCTCAATTCCCCTGACGTATGCCTGAATTGACCTTTTAACTCCTTTCTTTTGACTGACCCCCGTTTGTCCTTCGAAAGAAAAGACAAAACTTCCAGCCAGAGAGGATAAAGGGCGATAATGAATCGCGAATTGAGTCGGATACACGTCTTTTGCCAGCTTCTTCGATCGTCTGTTCTCGTTTCTCACCTTGGTTGCGCATCTCCAGACTCTGGTGCAGGGCTCAGGACGACCCAGAGTTTCCTGTGGAGCTAGTTAGTCGAACTGTGGTACGTCTTCTCCAGTCCCGAGTATCAAAATGATACCGAGTACTCTGTAACTCCATGCATTTGTATCGTGCGTGTGAATTTTGCTGACGATTAAGTGAAGGATCCATCCTTGATAGTCGTCCGATACCTACGGGGTACTTTTTATAACTTACTTTCTTCACGGAGAACTGTATACTAGAACCGGGCTTCAGTTACCGACGACTGCATACAGGACTCGACCTATTATTTTCCCACCAACTGACCATAACCAGCTATCGAATATCATATCGAGACATAACTGTACCATAGACATCACGCTCATCGTCGGCTTGATTTGCACTTCCCAGCCATACATACCAAACACAGGACCCCATATAGTTATCGACCCTTGGCGGACCACTGATCTAGCTTAGCATCTAGCTTCGGTCTTTAGCTTCTTAATAGATCGCGCCTCGCCTGACGCCCTGGGGTATTTTGAGCTCCTCGAGAAAAGACCCCGAGTCGTTGACGTACAACTGCTCCTACTCCTGAGGCCAAGACGTCGAACTCCGTTTTGCGACTCCTGACATCCAACAGCCTGTCAACTTCAGAGAACTGGTTACACAGGCGAGCAAAGGAGGGCCTTGGATACCAGACAGAAGGATATTTAATTTGCCGGTTGGTGCTATTTTTAAGAGGTAAGCGCCCGGTTTTTTTTCCCTGATCACCACATTTGCCTTTTTTTCCTCTCTAGCCGCCAGTCACAAGAATATCCCCGAAAAGCAACGAGCATAGGGAAAAACAAAGCATAAGAGCAAGTTCCGTTCCCTTCAGCCCAGTTAAATACTCAGACATGTTTTGCCATTTTTTGTTCCCCGCCACCGGCTGTGACCCTAAATGCGTTCTGGTCACTCATTCCCCGTATCATCTCTGCTTTCCTTTTGATATATTATTATACTCCATACCTCCGGCAATAAATCGGCGGCATCATGTCAACCACGGAGCTGATTAACATCTCCGCCCACGGTCCCTTGAGTCCAAGCCATTTTTATGCCAGAGAACTAATCTGTGCTTCCCGCTTATGGCAGGATTTCACCGAACCCATAGAGTTCGCTATATGGATGGCATCCTCAGAAGTAGACCAAAAATTTCTTGGTCACTTTGCTACCCAAACCAGCGAAACAAACCCGTTCCTCTCGGGTATGCTATATAAGATATTGGGGCTTTCTGTCATATTATCCAAGAAGCTGCTCCGGGCACGAAAACTGCGACGGCTAGATCCTACGAGGGAAACAAAGTCGTTTCAATTATACCATCATATCCTATGGCTTTCGAGGGAAGGACTGATAATAGTGGAGCAGTACGTGCATCCTATGGTAGCAGATTATGTGGAGCTGCGCGTTTTAGCATATAAGCTGCAAGCGTCGTTCTACCACATATTTGTGCTTTTCCATAATCAGCCGCGTGTCTACCATCGAGGTATCCAGGCTCTACCCGGCTCAGCATCATTTGTTGATATCGTCAATGCAACTGTTCCCTCTGGCGAACAAAAGGGGGCTAATTCGCAGGATCCATCATCAGTACCTTCCCATCCAGCAGAAGGTGGTACTGTTGGGGCTGGGAGCCACCTACAACCTCCAGGGCTGGAAGTACCAGTTCAGCCCAAGTTTGCAGCTTCTTTTATTCTTCTTGCCATAGACTACACCCCGCGAGCAACAGAATGTTTCACATATGTGGCTGCACTGGCCGACCAGCTTCTACCAGGCTCCCATCCGATCCGTCTGTCAGTGAAGCTCGAGTATGCCGCTTATCTATATGATTGTCTGAACGATTCGAAAGCGTGCAGACGCTTGGCCAAACAAGCTATCGCAGATGTGTATAATGCCCAGGAGGGTATGGACGATGAAAGCTTCGAAGATGCAGCGGAATTAGTGAGTGTGCTAGGCAAGATGGTCAAGCGAGGAGGCAAAACTACCAGCAGTACAGGCGGAAGCAGCAATGGTGGAGCTGGAGCTGGAGATAAATCGGTCAGCGATGCAAGCCAGGGCACACCTCGCGAAGCTGCTGTTGCGGCTGCAGACGTCAGCGGTACGCCGAAGAGCAGCCATCAACAGCCAAAACAACAACAGCCTTCAACCCCTCAACGACCAATCCCGGTTACCAGAGGAACGCCATCAAACATCCCAGCAGAAACAGGACTTGGCCTAGCAATTCCCTCTACCACCATGGCCAATCCACTATAACAACACGTATGTGTCTGGGTAAACGGTACCAAAACCTCACTATTCTCTGAATCATAAAGCTGTGAGGATGATGTGGCAGTGGACCATTTGGCTGTTTCACTGTCACATGTGATTTCATCTCGTTTTCGTTCTGTTCCTTTATTTGTCTTGAGGAGGCGCCTCGCAAGTTGTTTTCTGATTTTAGGTATTGTATGTATATGGGAGTTTGTTAAATATCGTTTTATCTTATAGCTATCAAGATAGTTGTAGTGATAATCAACCGTGAAACATATTTCACCATTCCAAGCGGTGCCCGGTGTAAGCATTATAGAAGCCTAGGGCATCAAGCCGAGCTCCAAGCGCATGAGTGTCAACGGATTGAGGCCCATACTAATTTTGGTAAGGGTTGTAGCGTGGTCGTATAGACGATTTATAGCACGAAACGCTTTCGTCAGGAGTGATCAGATTCTGCCCGTTGCTACAGCCGGTAACAAGAATATACAACGTGCCTGGATAAGATTGGGATGAGAAAAGTGTAGAAGGCAGTCAGTAGAAGTTCCAAAGGATATCATCTGTTCCTGGAATTCGGGTATAGAGGGTAACAAAGGTATTGATTGATGTATCAAACAGAGTATACTTCCAGAGATACTGTGCGATCAAAGAAACAAACACATCCAAGTACGGGGTACTTCAGTGTAATAAGAGGCTCAGGGTCAAGGTTGCAGTCATAGCTCGCCAACCGTATAGAGGCGGGAACGGATATAATTGAAGCGAGATGATTTCCAGGCCAAACAGCTCTGTTCTAGAATCCGGAACTCATTTTCACAGTCGATAAACCTTCAGCATATGAAGGAAACCATCTGCTTTGACCTTATATTATGGGGTATAGGGATATTTTTCCTCTTTGCACTTCCAGCCAGGAGATGTTGTTACAGCTTAGCGGCACCAACCTCGGGAGGAGTCAACCTTGTCGGCGCGCTTACCTAACTAATTTTCAGCCGCTGGTCCAAATGAATCCACGTGATTCCTGCCTCGGCCCAGTCAAGCTTACCCCCGGCTTTGGCACAAGGCTCCACTCCTCCTCATACGCATGTAAAGCTGTCGAAGTTCGTCTTATGGATGACCATTTTGATATAAAGTACTAGTACACCTTTTATTCCGTTGCCTTTGAACTCAACCAGAAATATTGGGAAAAGGATAATACAACATGGGAACAAACTCACCAAATCCAGTTCCATTCTCCGAACCGCCGTACCTCTGTGGTCTTCCCTCTCCATACTACACAGAAGCTCATCGTCAGTTCCAAAAGGCATGTCGAGCATTTATTTGGGAGCATTTGCATTCTCGTGCCATGGAATGGGAGCGGGAGGGCACTGTTCCACCTCACGTGTTTGAAGCATTTGCCAAACACAACATGCTACTTCCAAACCTGCCTTCTCCCTTACCAGTTGCGTGGTTGAAGAAGTTAAATATTCATGATATCTTGGGTGTCAAAGTTGAAGACTGGGATTTAATATATACTGGTATATATCTGGATGAGGTCAGTGACCACACACTTGCGTGCTGCACACTGACTTGTGTTGACTTTGGATTAGATGTCAAGATGCGGGCTGAGTGGGCCCCCGAGCTCACTGACAGCTGGGTTTGCATTTGGAATCCCACCCATGCTTGCCTTTGGTAGCCGGGAATTTCAAGAGAAATTTCTTCCCGATATGTTAACTGCCAAGGTCAGATCGTGCATTGCCATTACCGAACCAGACGCAGGTAGTGACGTTGCAAATATTACTACCACTGCAGAGAAGAGCGCAGATGGAAAGTACTATATTATCAATGGCGAGAAGAAATGGTATATCCTTGTCCCTGGTGTGCAATTCACTACAGTCCATTGAGACATAATCAGCTCACATATCTGATAGGATCACGAATGGAATCTGGTCAGACTACACAACCATGGCCGTACGTACCGGCGGACCAGGGCCAACGGGGCTATCTATGATGGTCGTGCCTTTGAAGGGGTACCCAGGCGTAACGATGCGTCGACTCCCGGTCTCAGGTCAAGTGTGTGGGGGTACCACATATATCGAGCTAGACAATGTCAAAGTGCCCGTTGAAAACCTCATAGGTCAAGAGGGGCACGGTATGAGGTACATAATGACAAATTTCAACCATGAACGCCTAACAATTGCCGTTGGAGTCACCCGCCAGGCTCGAGTAGCTCTTAGCGCCGCGTTCGAATACTGTATGAAGCGCGAGGCCTTTGGTAAGACTCTGATGGACCAGCCTGTGGTGAGACACAGGTTGTCCAAGGCTGGTGCCGAACTAGAGTCCATGTGGGCTTGGGTAGAGCAGTTCTTATACCAAATGAGTCACATGCCAAAGGCAGAGGGAGATAGAAGACTGGGTGGCTTGACTGCTCTGGCTAAGGCCAAGGCCGGAATGGTCCTCAATGAGTGTGCTCAGGTGGCGGTTTTGCTCTTTGGGGGACTTGGATTCACAAAGTCTGGTCAGGGAGAATTAGTTGAGAGTAAGTAATTTTTCTGATTTGCCCGATTCTATTTCCCTGTTCAACTTGCTTTAACTGGCGGTTTACTGATTGATTTAGAAATACTGCGTGATGTCCCTGGAGCTCGGATACCCGGAGGGTCGGAAGATGTACTCCTTGATCTTGCTGTTCGGCAGCTTGTGAAGAATTTCAAGGCCGAAGGGAAGAAGCTCGGGAAGGCTGCTAATCTCTAGAAGGTATTATTTCTTGTTTGGATAGCTGATACTTCGACAACCGCGTACTGTGAAATGAGTACTGTAGCATCGATGATATATGATTATGCTTAATAGCAGGTTTCTAACGTAATATCACTGGGAAGATTGAAACATAATGTTTGCTGGTTCTTTAATAGGCAATCCGCTGTTATCTTGTAGTTGGAAGAAGCTTGTCGTGAACATCGTTAACAATGGTTGAATGGACTTTTAGGTACTCCTGAAGCTTAGGTAAGGAAGGTTCTCCGACTCGAAATCCACCAATAGACGGGAGCTGACTAATTACCGGGAATTATATATCCCGTTAAGTTGAATGACTAAGCAAACATAACGGGCATTCCATGAAACCTTAATTTTGCAACAACGAAACTGACGCGAATCTCTCCAGACGTTGTACTCAAATGGCTAATGAAGATAATTAGCAGATGAACAGATAATAAAAGCAACTGACGGCTGGTTGCAGGCCGTTCAATAGCCTCTTAATTTGTCACTGTTCAGAGATGAAACCCGAGATTTCGCCATCATCCTCCGAAGACCCAGCAGACTCCAGGACGGTCGTGCCCAAGTCGGCTAGTAAAGCGCAGACCTGCGAATCTTGCCGCGCTGCGCATAGCAAATGTGACGGTCAAACACCCAGTAAGTCTTATTATTACCCCCGAGATGGCTGCTCATAATAACATTATTCGGCAGTTTGCGGTCCGTGTGAGAAGAGACACTCCAAGTGCAGCTTTTCTAGAACGTCAACTGCGAGAGCCTCTCTTCCTGCCTTATCCTCCAATTCATGTCTGATTTGCAGGAGAAGGAAAAAAAAATGTGATCGCGAACTACCATGTATGCAATCGAAAATGTAAAAAAAAAGAAACGAAAAGTAAAATTGGCAAGAGCTTACCGCTGATAATAGCTTGCACTTCGTGTCGCCGACGGAATGAACCTTGCCAATACAGTTACCCTTCATCAACGTATGTTCACAGAAACCATCAAAGGAATGCCGTATAAACTAATTTATCTCTACAGCCTAAAGCCAACCCAACGGCCTCCCCTTAGCCCTTCAGGGCGGCCATCTAAGTCTCCAAGACTATCCCTACCAACACGGTCTGCTAGTGTAAAGCGGCCATCAACCCAAGCAGATGACAGGGAACTGTTTAGTAAAGGTTCAAGTGTCATTTCGGATGATATTTCTGACAGCGAGGCGGACGACCTATCTACTGAGAAGTCTGCATCTGTTACAAACACGACAGACCTTCTGAAGCTCTTCCAGCGGGCTCGAAAGAAGGGCCCAGAGCCGCGAAGTACTTCTGTTGAGATTCTGGAGAGTTTTGACCCCAGAGGCACGGATAAAGATACCCTAGATCTATCTACATGGCTAGCCGAGCTCAAAGAAGCGATTCTACATAGGACGGACACATCGAAACCAGGTTATCGCGAGAAAGCAAAACGAGAACTTGCTAGACTATCACTACTGCAGAAAGACAATCCTGGAATTACGGAGATAAAACCAGACCCGATTGATCTCATAAAACCTCCTCGTTCAGTTGCAGACCGCTGTTTCGCGATCTACCTTACTCGTGAATATGTTAACCTGCCAGTATTCCATCTCCCAGCGTTGCATGCTATGTATATTGAACTATATACAAGTAAAAATTCTGGAGATGATAAGATTATTTCTCTCGGCATATTTAACATGATCTTTGCACTGGGCTCTATTGCCATTGATCCCTATTTTGACGCCTCAGTTTATTTCAACACGGCACAACGCCTCCTTCGACTAGGTTCCCTGGGGCCAGATAGTTTCTCGACTATACAAGCACACATTCTTGCCAGCCAATACCTGATTGCAATCCACAACTTTCACGCTGCGTGGAAATCTATTGGACTTGCAATCCGTATTGCTGAATCACTTCGGCTTCACCTCGGTTCAGGAAGCCAGCATCTTGAAGATAGAGTCGATAGAGAGCTTGCGAGGAGGCTCTGGCACAGCTGTATTCTTCTAGAAAGGTTGGTTCGATCGGATTCATGCACTGAGCTCATACTGACTGGTAAGTAGGACGATAGCTCTAAACCTGGGTTCAAAAACAGTTGTAACCCCACGATCCTTCCAAACACCACTTCCAACGCCCCTTGAAAATGAATACATCGACGTGATATTTGGGGGAGAACCCGCAGCTTCTTCTGAACGGCCATCAATTATAGAGTTCTTCACCGCTTATACCCGCCTGATGGAGAGGTATGAAGATGTTGTTGCTGTGCAAGAGGAATTTCGCCCTATTATGCATCACCCCCATAAGCTAATGGGTATATGTGAATTCACCACCCTCCTAAATGCAGATCGGAAGCTGTGCAACTGGATGGCCGCTCTCCCTCCTTTTTTGTTGCCAGAGAGCAATCATTTTTCCTTAGAAAGTCCAGTTGCAAAACGACAACATAACATTCTCCGCATTAGGTATCTCACCATCAGACTCCTTCTGTGGCGGCCCCTTCTAGCCCTTGTTGCTGCATCGCCGGATCTAATCTTGGGCAAAAACACCTCTAACCACTCAGGCGAGGCCAGCGAAATTGTTGATACACCTATAATACACACCATAATTCTGAAAGGCGCCTGCAAATGCATACTCTCCGCCCAAGAAATAATAAATTGCTTCGCAGAAAATCAACATCCCGACGGGAAAATTGATCATCAGGCACCGATACCTGACTGGTGGGAAAATATTACGTCGACCTTTATTTGCGCCCTCGTGCTCCTGGCTGCTCGTCTCTGTCCCCTTGATCTCATCAAACAGTTACCGAGGGGCAGTAAATCTGTGGAAGATGCCTGGGAAAAATCCACCGGACTATTTCGTGAATATCGAAAATTCGATTCCAAGGCTGGAACATACCTAGTTGCTATAGAGTCCCTCGCTAATAATGTGGCTGAGATGGATAGCACTAATCCTCCCCGTGCGAAGGACAGGGAATCAGATGCTCGACCGATCAATGACGTTACCTGGCTGGAAACGCTGCCAAATGATTTGCCTTGTTCAGTATGACCATCGCCGTCATTTTCTATATCCCTAAGCCATGATAGCTCACAGCACAGGATAGTAATTTGAGAAGCTTTCTACAACAAGGATGCGACATTTCTCTGTTTTCACTTCATTATTTGGATAAAACGGTGGGGTGTCTTTGAGTGCTTGTCTACTCAGTCTTGTCATTTACGGCTAGAATTGGTAGTACCCTCTATGCACTCTATACCGTCAACAGGGAGGTGGGAAACTTTGATACTTAGGAAAGAGAGCGGCCGAGGTTATTAGTACCAAGCGAAGGTCCCTATATTTGAAACCTATATGGACTGCTTAACGGCAGATGAACCGTATAGCCTCTTGAGGCTCAACAGTGTATGAATGATAAATAGTGTACCAGCTGCGTTTGGCTTAGTCATCCGGCGTTGTTCCCGAAACTTATATAGATCAGATAGTAGCCTGTTAACCTATCTGTAGGCTTGAAAAGGACATTGTTTTGTAATAAATCATAAGTCATAAAGAAGATCTGTTTATGGTGGTGTATACCAATAGCTTGTTGGTACAGCTGCTGTGTGGGGGTGCTCTGCCATGCTTGTGCTGTCATGCCATGTCGGCTTGTCGGGCGGCGTCGGCTTAAGCTCCCAAACTTGCATAGGCATCCGCAGGGTGGAGAAGCGTCGTCTTCCGTATACAACGAACTAGATATACAAGTTGCCGAGCGCAACGGGACAGTAGTTGAATTTCTCTGTATTTCACTCTTTGCTCTAGATATTCTTCCTCATTTGCTAACTAGGGAATAGACACTTCACGTCCACCGCTTCAAACATGGCAGCTACAATGCAGGCTGCAAACCGGCTCCAGTCCGTCCTCAAGGCAGGGAAGACAGCATACGGTGTCTGGCAGATGTTCCCTGGCGCCAACCTCTCCCGGGTAATGGCGAGATGCGGATTTGACTGGGTTCTCGTTGATACAGAGCATGGCAACATCGATGGTACTTTACCATGGTATTTAGAGTAAGATTGAGTATGCTATTAGATGCTGATATTGAATATAGATGCCCAAATGCATGAAGCGGTAGGAGCCATTGCGGCTACGGGAGTCAGCCCTGTTGTTAGGATTGCGGCCAACGAGGGGTGGATGGTCAAGCGTATGTTCATGGTTAATACTGCGTTTAGCACGGGAATGGGTACTGATGGTGAGATAGGCGCACTTGATGCTGGGGCTCATGGAATACTTGTTCCACTGCTCGAGACGGCGGATGATGCAAGGAAACTGGTCCAGTCGGCCAAGTTTCCTCCAGTAGGGAAGAGAGGGTTTGGTGCCCCGTTTGCAATGGGTTCAATTGGCAATGTGTCGCCGATAGAATATCTACAGCATGCGAATGACGCTTTAATAACAGCTGTGCAGATAGAGACTAAGTCTGCCCTTGACAATGTTTGTACCCTTTATCCCTCCTACACAATCCGCTTTGCTCCTTGACCCCGTACTTCACACAGGCTGCTAAGTTATGGATAGGTCGAAGAGATTGCCCGAGTACCTGGAGTCGATGTCCTCTTGGTCGGGCCATGGGATCTTGGAAATAACATTGGCCGACCCGTGGTCACCGCCGAGTTCCATCCTGACCTTGAGGTCGCTATCGAGAGAATCCGTAGAGCCGCGACAGACAATGGGAAGAAAGCAGGCATATACTGTCCGTCTGGGGAGTTCGCGAAGAAGTACATTGACCAGGGATTCCACATGGTGAGACCTGCCTTTTCCTTTTTGTTCCTTGCTTCAGCTTCATGCTGTCACCATTTGCTGATTCGGTTTCGAGTACCATAGGTCTCTGTTATTTCGGACGTGACCGCGCTTCCCATTTTCCTCAGTCAGAGCTTGAAAGTCGCAAAGGGAGAGTAAATTCAGAGATATCCTCTCAAAACTAGTAATAGTAGATTTCTGGTTTAGAGATATTTGAAACAGATGCACTAGCATTCATCAATGGCCTTTTGAACCTCTGTTTCGGTAAACCGGTGGAAAAGCTTCTTCGGATCGCTCAGCTGGCCATTGGGGAGTGTCTTCTCAACGTGTAGAACAGGAACATCGAATTCATACATGTCCTTCCACTGCTGGTTCCCAGGGGCCATCACATCTATCTCTGCATACTCGAATGTCTTTCGCTGCCGGAGGTTGTTGAGGGTGAGTTTGGCGGTCTCGCATAGGCCACAGTTCAGGCGGGAGTAGAGCGCCAGCCGAGCATTCTGCAGAAGCGAGAGAGTAGGCCGCATCTTTAACAGATATATCGAAAGTAACTAACTGGCTGAATCGCTGGATCACCGTCCTTCACTCGGCGCTTCGCTTCTGGGTCCTTTTTGTTTATTATTATTTTTGTTGGCCTGCCTGGGAGGTAGAAAAAACTTTTCCTATCCAGAACCTTCGATAAGGACGATAAGAAAAAGCAACGCTGGAGGAGCTGTCGCTCTCGCCCACCGCCGCCCTCAGCTGGATTAGTTTAAATATACTTGTACGCACCCCTCCATCCCTGGCGAAAGGGCTCAATTTGTGCTTGCTACCACCGTCACGGACAATATGGCTCAGAAGTGTGTTCACAAGGGGTGTGGCAAGGTGTTCGCGGACGCTGATGAGTCGTGTGTTTACCATCCTGGCCCGCCGATATTCCACGAGGGACAGAAAGGTTGGTTCTTCACCATGGGGTCGCGAGTGTTACTTATTTTTACGTTGGCTCCTAGGTGACCGCAGTTACTGACTGGCAAGATAGGTTGGAAATGCTGCAAAACTCGAGTCCTGACCTTTGACGAATTTCTTGCCATCCCGCCGTGTACGACCGGCAAGCACTCTACCGTCGACGATACACCAGTTGAGCCAAAGAATGAGACTGCTGATATCCCTGCATCGACCCCTGCTGCAGATGCTCCCGTTGGCACGACCAAACCCATCGCTGTATCGGCTGCGCTACCTTCCTCGCTGAGTGCAACCGGAGCTCACACACCTACACCCACGGGCACTCCCGCCCCGCCAGAGTCCGAGTCGGACGATCCGTCGTTGGAGATACAGCAGGGAGCAACATGTCGTCGGAAAGGATGCGGTAAGACGTACAGTGGGTCTGGATCTAGGGACGGAGAAGAATGCATTCACCATTCCGGATATCCTGTTTTCCACGAGGGGAGCAAAGGGTGGAGCTGCTGTAAGAGGCGGGTGCTGGAATTCGATGAGTTCCTGAAGATGCCTGGTTGCAAGACGAAGAACCGCCATTTGTTCATTGGCAAGGGAAAGAAGTCTGCTGAAGAGAAGGTTAATGATGTGCGGTAGGTCGAGCTTAATTTTCCCCTTTTACAAGCTGGTTTTGGTTATTGCTACTTAGCAGAGGCACTGACATGCTTGGTGATGATTAGGACTGACTATTACCAAACCTCCTCGACAGTGATCGCGTCAGTATACCTCAAGAAGATAGACAAAGAGGCCGCCAAAGTGGACTTTGCTTCGCCGACCACGATTGAGCTTGACCTCCCCACCGCGGACAACAAACGGTACAAGGAGACCTGGACTCTATTTGCACCAATTGACACAGAGAAATCGAGCTACAAGATCATGGGGACGAAACTTGAGTTCTCTCTTGCAAAGGCAAATGGGGAGAGCTGGCAGACCTTGCGGAGTACCGACCCACGGACAGGCGAGATTATTCAAACCGGACGGCCGACGAGGGCATGAGACCACAAATTTCGAGCAAGAAAAAAGGGCAAAAATAATGGTACGAATAACGAGGTGAACGAATTGGTGAGGAATAGTGGAATTTATCTGAACTTTTTTGTATTGACATTTATAA